AGAATAGTTAGGGCTGGAAAGGACCTTAAGATCATCTAGTTCCAACCCCCCTGCCATGGGCACGGGCACCTCCCACTAAACCATGTCACCCAAGGCTCTGTCCAACCTGGCCTTGAACACTGCCAAGGATGGAGCATTCACAACTTCCCTGGGCAACCCATTCCAGTGTCTCACCGCCCTTACAGTAAAGGACTTCTTCCTTATATCCAATCTAAACTTCCCCTGTTTAAGTTTGAACCCGTTACCCCTTCTCCTGTCACTACAGTCCCTAATGAAGAATCCCTCTCCAGCATCCCTATAGCCCTCCTTCAGATACTGGAAGGCTGCTATGAGGTTTCCATGCAGCCTTCTCTTCTCCAGGCTGAACAGCCCCAACTTTCTCAGCCTATCTTCATACAGGAGGTGTTCCAGCCCCCTGATCATCCTCATGGTCCTCCTCTGGACTTCTTCCAACAGTCCCATGTCCTTCTTATGTTGAGGACACCAGAACTGTACACAATACTCCAAGTGAGGCCTCACGAGAGCAGAGTAAAGGGGCAGGATCACCTCCTTCGACCTGCTGGTCACACTCCTTTTAATGCAGCCCAGGACACGGCTGGCCTTCTGGGCTATGAGCACACACTGCTGCCTCATGTTAAGTTTCTCATCAACCAACACCCCAAAGTCCTTCTCCACAGGGCTGCTCTGAATCAATTCTCTGCCCAACCTGTAGCTGTGACTGGGATTGCCCAGACGTAGGACCCTGCACTTGGCTTGGTTAAACTTTTTATTAAATAAACACGTGTTTATTTAATAAAAAGGGAAGGAAAAAAAAAAGGAAGGAAGATTTTTTTATTATTATTATTTACTGAAAGGAATGGATCTCACCTGAACCCAAGACAAGAAATATTTTTTTCAGAAAGACAAGCAGAAAGAACTTCAAACTGCTGGGTACAAATAAATGCATTCCTGGACTTAATTGTGATGGAAGACAACTTCTAACTTCATTAATTTTTTACTTTTTCCCTTTACATAATCCCATAGGGAGCACTTATATATCAAAACACAGGCTAAGTGCCCCCCAAAACTACAGGTTCTCAGGCTGTTGTTCAGGTGATGCTGTAATTTCTCAACAATTCTGAGAACAAATCCCTGGTTATACAATCCAATCAACTATTTCAAAGATGCTGCGAGGCTAAGGTGTCTGCACCACTGCACTGCCTTTTACAAACATTTTAGAACACAGAAGGTAGGAGATCCTTCATCTAGGGAGCATACTAAAGCCAAAAAAATAAATACGTGTCCTCTCAGAATTTCATAGTGTCCAAACTAGCAATCAAGTACTTCAATTAGTGTTTCTTTTCAAACAATCTTAACACTTGATGAAAACAAAAATATTGCTTCACTTTCATGTCATCAGAAGCAGCAGCAAGTAATCCTTCCTTATGTGCCTAACTCACGCAATAAAAATGGGTGGAACAGGTATTCACTAGTAAAGGTTGAGAGCATCTGTCTTCAGAAAAACAGCCAAAGTCTACAGAAAGAAACTGAAGTGATGCAGGGAGCCATGGTTACACATTTAAGTAACAGCTTTGGGTTTTTTTCTTCCTCTTTTATAAACTAACATGCTTCCAGCATTCCCAGTGGTTTTGAGGAATATAATTGCATGCTATTACTTAAGAACTATGTGATTACTGTGCCACTGTCTTCTGCATAACTCAGTCTGTAATAAGAGTGATAAGAATAGCATTTATTATTTTTGAAATGGTTTTTGCAATGCATCCACACTGATGTGGTTTTAAACATCTGACTAAACTCAGGATGCTTTACATAGAGGTTTTATTTTCTTCTTATAGTACCACACACCATTCAAACTCCCCTCTGTGTGCAAAGACACTGCCTGAAAGTTCATCTGACTGGGTCATTAGGCTCTTGAGCAAAACTTGCAAAGACTGAGGAAAAGCATTCTATCATGTCTCTACAAGTAAAATGTGTTTTATGCAAAGTAAAGACACAAAAGAAAAAGCATGCCAAGAATGGAATGTGCAATAAGAACTAGAAAAGTCAAACTATTCAGTCCCAGCTATTAAAGGCAACCAAGCTACATCCCTTTTATAAGTGCATCAAATGCTATGTAAAATCTGATTTCTAAATTCTGGGAAAAAAAGAACAAATAAGCACATGAACAGAGAATTTACAGTTTAACATTTTAGTCTTCTTCAGGCCTACCTAAAGCACTCCAAACTTTTCTAGAAAACAAGCTTATTAATATTTTATTCGATAGTAGCTGTAGATTGTTATTTTCTGAATTCAAATACAATGTCAGTGTATTGGGAAAAAAAATACCAAAAAAACAAAACAAACAAACAACAAAAAAAAAAAAAAAAAACCAGCCCTTTAACAGTGAAAGGCTATCCCAACCCCAAACACCAAAGTTTCAGGGCTTCACACATGTCAGCACATCAAAACCTATAAATAAAAAACCACTCACTGCAAAGACATAGCCCAAGTAGTACAAGAAAGTACTGGGTTTATACTATGCACATTTATGGAGAGGAAGCTAGAGAGAAAATTCCCATCAAGAGTTTGCCCCAAGAGCTTCAGAAACCTGGGCTTAAGCCAAGCCTCTCTTCTGTTTATATATTCTACTTATGTAATGTAGCAAGTGAAAAGGAATACAGCTTTTTCAGAAATGCATCAACACAGGACAACTCACAAGGCAAACATTTCCCATCAAACAGTTGCAACATGCTGTTAAAAATACAGATTAACACATGGTTCTCTCGAAAACGTACTCTGAAAAAAGGGCTGCTGTTGTTATGAGATTGAGACATGGACTGCTCTATGCTGCTGTTTATACCAAAGAAAAGGAGAACGAAAATCCCATTCTACATTTAATTTCATATTGAATACTTTCCATGAAAACTCTGACAAAAGCACATTAATGCTTGAAAGCAAACACTACTTTTTCCCTGAGCTCTCCTCTGAACATAAAAATTACTAGAAGAGGTAAGCATGTAACAAGCATACAACTCACAGCTCATGCTTGTACAGGCCACACACTATATACAAGCACTAACATGTTATAGTCGCCAAACAAAGTTTTTTCCAGTACATAGTTTTGTTTTACAACAATTTGGATCAATATTAGGGTAAACCAAACAAGCTACTTTCTGGATTTCCAAACTATTTATTTTGCATCACAGCACGTTTTCATTAGACTGTAACTTTTAAAAAAGAAATAAATGTCTTGCTGGGGAGCCAAGCTAAAAGTCATTCTTCCAAACCACATACAGTTCCACTACCATGCCTTACCCCTTTCACATCTGCTACTGAGCTGGTCAGCGGCAAGTATGGCAATACATACTACCAATTAATGGCAGTTTCATTCATCAGATTTCCTTCATTTCCTTCCTATTTCTCCTCTATTGATACTATGATACAGGTGTTCACATGGACCACTGTGAACTCCATTCAACAAAAGCAAATAAGCAACAGCGCTAAAGGACAATTACATACAATGTCTACTACACATGTGAGACATTACTCTGTTCCTTATAGCTGGGATAAATACAAGCATGCAGTCAGCACATACGTCTCCACATACCAGGAGGCACAAATACCCTCATGGGCAGGACCAGTTGAGAACTTAGGTTCATGTTATCACATGATTGCACACAGGTATAGCACCTGCCGTTTTGTGGGTCAAGAACAAGTGACTACTTGTCTGTCTCTCTGCTGTTACAACACAACTATCTTCAGCAGGCAAACGGGGACACAAAAGGGCATGCGGAGGCGGTACACTAAAGATCTTCGGAATACACTAATATATTCTTCTAGTGCAGGTTTTTACTGTTAGTAAAAATAGTGGCACTATTTAAAGAGTGGATTAGGTTCCAACCCCTGGCACAAACAGGGACAAGAAAACGGATATAACCTTCCTCAGGGGTCTGTCTCCTTAGATGAGAAGCAAGTGTGCCTTTTTTCATGTTGAAAAGAGGATGTGAGGGCAGGGTAAATGCAGACTGGATATACCTTCCCTCACCACTCTTGCCTGCCCAGTTGTCAGGCCTGTCCCCTCTGCAGATTTATGTAATGATGGTGTTCCCCACTGTAGAATATGTACAGTGCCTGTGAAGACAGGGCTTTCTCTCCACAGTTGTTTTGGAAGATTACAATGCATACCGAGCGAGAACTTATCTGACTGTAAGGATACAAGAGTGGATGTCAACCCCAGTACTGAACAAGTGTCATTTGTGAAAGGCAGCACACTACCTGGGGTAGCTGCAGAACAGAAGTGTTCCTATGAATATGTCTCACCTATAGGTGAGCACCATCTACATGTTCAGAGAACCATGAGTCTTAATGTGGTTACATTATCAACTTCTATCCCCTCCATGCCAGATGGGTTCACCTACAAGCAGTCAGGTGGCAAAAGCAGGTATCCACCTCAACACACGTATGAATTCCTCCTGCTACAGATGCCAAGGTGGGCTGTCTGCCACCTCAAACCTCAGTGATCAGGGAAGGGTGGCACAGAGACGCACATTCCCCAGAGGGAGAAGGAGACAGGTGCGAGCAAGAATTTTCCCTACACATGAACACGGACATTCCTCCAACGTGCCTTGGGAGAGCCACCTCTGCCTCACCAAACGCGGGGGGGATGGAGGAATCCAGCCATATGGGAGCAAACACCTACCTCACACACCAAGGCGGGGGAGGGGTGGGGAATAAAGAAAGCATAGGGTCCACGGAGAGCTGGGAGGGGGCTCGGTGTCCGTGTAGTAACGTCCCGTGGGGAAGGCGAATGCCTCATGACACGGAGGTCGGGTGCAAGGGTGGGGAGGGGGGAAGCGTGTCCCTCACAGGGAGACAGAAGACACTAGGATGACTGAGGGGGCGGGGAGGGAGAAAGCGGGTCCCCGGCGATTAAAACCACCTTCCCCTCCCGTCCCGCCCCGCAAGCAGATGTCGGCCGCCCCCCCCCCCCCCCGCGCCCCCAGTTCCTCCCCTGGCCTCACCTGCTCGCACCGTATCGGAGAGATCGTGGCTGAGGGCGGCGGTGCTGCGCGGGAATTCCTTCAGCTTCCTGCCGCTCAGGTTGAGCCCCCCCGAGTGCGCCGCCTCCTCCAGCGCCCGCTCCAGACCGCGGTTCAGCGGCGCCTGCAAGCCCAGCGACCCGCCGCCGCCCACCCCGGCCGTTGCCGCCGCCAGAGCCGTGGCGGGGAAGGGCTGCGACTCGCCTCCCAGCGTCGCCATCTTTCCCCTCGCCCGCCTCGCCGCTGGGGGTACCCGAGAGGGCCGTCGGACCCGCCTGCCTGCCTCCCTCCCTCTCTTCCTCCTCCTCCTCCTCCCGCCCGCTGTAGTGGCGGCACCGCCGCCGTGACGGAAAGGGGGAGCAGCGGCTCAGGCAGGAGGCGGAGACGAACAGCCTGGAAGAGGCGCGCCGACTGCGCATGCTCCGACCCACACCGCCCTCTTCCCCCCCCCCCCAGGTTTCACCGACACCTCGCCCCCGGGCTGCGCGGGGGGTGGGCACTGCGGCGCCACCTAGCGGCGGCACGCAGCGCACCCCCGGCCTCGTCCTGCTTCAGGTGCAAATGCCAAGGCCCTGGCCCTCCCTGGTTTCTTAGAATCATAGAATTACCTAGGTTGGAAAAGACCTTTAAGATCATCAAGTCCAACCATTACCCCAGCACTGCCAAGGCCACCACTAAACCATGTCACTAAAGGCCTCATCTACACGGTTTTTGAACACTTCCAGGGACAGTGATTCCACCACTCCCCTGGGCAGCCTGTTCCAACACCTGAGCACCCTTTCAGTGAAGAAATTTTTCCAATCTAAACTCCGCTAGGGCAGCTTGAGGCCATTACCTCTTGTCCAATCATTTGTTACTTGGGAGAAGAGACCAGCTACCTTCTCATTCAATCCACCTTTCAGGTAGCTGTAGAGAGCAACAAGTTCCCGACTGAGCCTTCTCCAGACTAAACCTCCCCAGTTCCCTCAGCCATTCCTCATCACACTTGTGCTCCAGACCCTTCACCAACTTCTTTGCCCTTCTCTGGACCTGCTCCAGCACCTCAATGTCTTTCTTGTAGTGAGGGGCCCAGAACTGAACACAGTATTTGAGTTGCAGCCTAGCAGTGCTGAGTACAGGGGATGATCACTGCCCTGGCCCTGCTGGCCACACTATTTCTTGTCACAACATTACCCTCAGCGTTCCCTTTTAAAGCCTAGCCCAGGAGGTCTGCCCACCACCTACTTTGGCCCCTTCTCCTGAAATCCGCTGCAGCTGCTCACCATGCTAACTGTGCCGGCAATTTGTGGTTGGGTGGCGTGAAACCACCATGCACATGTGCAGGCAAGCATGCATGTGCTCGGGCAGCAGGCCTCGTTTGAAAATTAAAAGCTGCAGTGGCTGTTGCCACTGAGCTGGGCCCTGGGAAGCATCTGCCCTGCAGAAGGCCTTTCTGTGACTCATTTCTCACACACGGGCTGGCTTACACATGTGCATGGCCCTCGGGGACAGTCTGCCAAAGAGACATCCTCAGAGGTGTGATGTGTAGCAGAAAACCACAGACAGGATGATGATCAGTTTTCAATAGAATAACATTTCTGAGTGGGTGAGGGTGTTGGTTTTGGTTTATTCTCCCCCTCTCTTCCACAGCTTTGCAAAGCCGAGCCCAGGGGTGGGAGAGGAGCGAGGCCTCATGCTTCCACAGGGTTTACAGAGTTCAAAGCTAAAAAAGGCCTTGTACGTCATCACCCATGACCTGTATTTTACAGGCCATTACATTTCACTCGGTTACCCTGTGTTGTGATCAGTGGCTGACATTAAACCAAAGCCTTCCCGGCTCCAGGAAGTTCAGCCACTGAGTGCTACAAGGACAAGGAAGACAGAATTGCCGCGAGGAAATAACTCAGTTTCTGAAAAGCAGGAGAGATGATAGCGAGTTTAACAGTCACAACAAGAAACAGCACTGGTTCAAAGAGAAAAAGGGTGTTAGAGGTAGGTCTTTTCACATAACAGTATCATAGTATCCATTAAAAACTTGTCTTTTATAATTACAATATGATCTCAGTAGAGGCACCTAAAATATAGGCCCTGAGCTTAAACTTCTGTCCAAACTTCACATCTACAACTGCTAGTTATTCATGTCTGATGTGGAGCTCTTGGGTTTTGCAAATTCAGTGGCCTACTAGTTCAGAGAGCAATTCTTGACACCGCTGTTTGGAACAGCTCCTAGCTGAAGAGGAAATCACCACAACAACAGTGGTGCCACAATGTCAGGTGACTTTTGACAAAGCTTTTTGATGGGTTATTAAGATAGTATTCCCCACAAATTTCCACTAATCACAGCACGTTTTGGATTTGTTAAAAGGCTTAATTCCAGCTTGCATGCAATCTTTGTGTTGCTACCGGAAATCATATTGAAACAGATGAATAGCTATATCTTCTCAGCAATTTAAAGAAAAGTGTTGATGAGCAGTAGTTCAAGTTGAGTAAACTGTGAATAAGAGCAACTGCTAGGCTTTCCCTATAATGGATTAATTTTTTAATGCAAGTTTAATGAAACAGGTACGGCGTTCTTTTATGCTTAGCGAAGTCTGAAATGTCATAGGTTTTATAACTTAGTAAATGACTTTGCACAGGAGATTTTCTGTGTATTACATTGTCCAACATCATGGAACTCTATTTTGAAACTAGCAATGTAGAACTAAACACCATATCTGCAGAACTCATCTTCCACCATCAGCTATTTACGGTCAGGTAACAGGCCTGTCATTGGTGATGTTCGGGAAGTTTTCTACCAGGAACACCACATTCCTTTCTCTCCCACTTCTGGTAAGAAAAAAAATATTTCTAATGCTGATTTTTGATGAAAGCAAAGAGGTTTTTTTGCTCTTCATTTTCTTCACACCATACCACTAGTCCTGGGATTTGATTCACAGGATCTTGTGTAAGGGGGACTAGCAGCAATACCTTTCTCAATCTCATTGAAGGACAACTTGCCCTCCTTTGCACGAGGCACCTGAGGTGCCAAGAAGCCATCAGGCTGCTCTGCTTGCAGGCAGGCACAGCTTGCCCAACTCAGCTATCCCGTTGGGTTAGCACAAAGGGCCCATGGCTGGCAGAGGCAGATAAGTCAGCCCAGCATTCCCACTTAAGACACGAACATCAGGACAGCTAGCATATAAAGAGGCTGCAGCTACACTTGTATGTGGTCTAGCAGGGGTTAAAGTTGTAGGTTCCCCTTACAGCAATGCATGGGCACACACCAATAAATCAGTCTGTTTTAAACATCTTTTTTATCTAAGCAGCTGAGGTGCAACACAGGCATGATCCATGCTTATCAGATACTGTGTAGAAAGTCCTGGAAGTAGCACTTTGAAGGCTGCTAACATTATCGAGGTTGTGGGGGGAAAAAAAAAAAAAAAAAAGGAAGCACTGAAGCTGTATTGCCTTGAGTTTCTCTGCCTGAGTGCTGTGCCAGATCTAGCTCCGTTCCTATAGATACAAAGGACAAGAAATTGGAAGCACTACAGAGAAAGATCAATCACAGCAGCACTGGTTTCCTACTCATGCAGATGTATATAAAAGATCATGCTGTTGACTTTGGTCAGATCACAGTGTACACACAGCCTGACACAGCAGCTAAGCTGAGCTAGTGGCAAGCTGTCATTGCAAGCAGCCCTTCTATTCCTTGCCCTCAGCTTGATCCTTGATCCCCCTAGCTCCTATGTGATGGTATTTACATTTGTCTGACCCTTCAATGAGACCTAGAGGAGTTTAAAAAGTAAGTCTGGAAGGAAAAGAAGACAGTACATGCTCTTCAGTGAGCAGACACAAGTGTAGCAGATGAGAGAAGGAATGCAGAAGGAAGACTTATAGGTGCAACACAAGGAAAAGACTGCAAGGGTGATCATTCTGCAAACTGGGTCACACATAGTGGCTGTGACTAGAAAAATCTTATCAGAGATGTACAGAAAGTACCATACCTGAGGAAAACCATGAGCCTTAGAGTGTCAAATTGAAATTTGCAGAAAAGAAGCAAACAACAAGGCCCACATGGCTTGTGAAGATCAGAGCTAGGTGAAGACTTATGTGCAGGGAGCCGGTGCCTCACGAGCTAGCACACAACCTCAGAGTGGAGTACCTCTCCTGTACTGGACATTGGACTTCCACAGTATGGAGTGAGAGAGCATCACTTTACTTCAACATACAAACACATGTACCTCATGCTCCATGTGCTCTAAGACAGTCCTGAAGAGGCAATAGCATGGAGTAGCTGATACACAGTCAGGGTACACCAAAGTAAGTGAATATCCAAGGTGGACAAGCTGTCTTATGCAAAGAAAGAAACAACACACAAATACTAAGTCTAATGCCAAACAGAAAATGGGCATCACTCAACTTGCAAGGCTACCTCCATTTGGTGCTACACAAAACAGAAGTCAGAACTCAGAAAGGACACATTATACACCCCTGGTAGTATGACCATAACAGCATCAGAACGAGGGAAAATACTATATGAATCGCAAGAGAAAAAGCATGTAGACTGAAGCCTCATGTGGCACAGAAGATGCTCCTTTCAATTCTAGCACAGACTTCTGAACATGCTCACAGCATGCCTCAGACAAGCAGGTCACAGCAGACACACCAGTAGAATGAGTAGCCTACACAGGGCAGACAATGCACTGCAGTTTCCTTGCAGCAAAGCTGGTGAAGAGAGTTAGAAGAGTGGGGAAGCTTTATCAGGAAATAGCTCAGAAAAATCCATTTATATAGCACCTGCCTCACAGACAACCAAAGAGGGGGAAAAAAAAAAAAAAAGGAGGAAAAAGGAAGAAAGCAATTAATTGATAGGAGGCAGGAGCTGAGGGAAGCTTATACGTAAAGCAGGAGCTCAGACGGTAGGTAAGCAGCATGATCACTGCTCAGAAAACATACAAGGTTCATTCTCTTATAGATACAAATAAGTTCATTACATAAGGGACACAATTATTTAATTGCTATGGACAAAGAAGCACTTCTTGGTCCTGGTGACTGATCATGGCAAGCATTAGGAGCTCAGGAAATCTCTCTTTCTGTGTCTTGAGACCCAATGGATGGTCAGGCTCAAATTACACCTGATAGTTGTTGGGGGTCAGCTGCCACAAGATGGATCCTGAACAGCACTGTGTGCACTAGATGTCTTGGCAAGTTCACTTTCAGGGTAGCGATGATGCTGTACAGATGCAGATGTAGCGGGACAGAAGCTGCAAGAGATCATGACCAAAAGCTCAGCTCTCAGTCAAGACCTCATGAAAATAGACCTAAGGGTAAAAACTGAAACTGAAATGTAGTACCCTGAAACACTTGACCTGACTAAACATTTAAAGGCAACAAAGTAACATGCCCATACCTGAAGTATTAATTTACTTCAAAGACTATTAGCAGTTGTAAAC